CTTCGTCGTACTTCCTCCGAACTTCTCGTTGAAGTCGCACCATCAACGTTGAACGCCCTCAACTCCGTACGCACCGTCGAACAGTCAGCTAGCCAGCTGAGCCTCAACAACTACACAACACAGGAGGGATCAGACCGGGTCGCCATCATGACGTCGCCGTCAGCCTCGCACCGCCCCACACAGCCGTCGTGTGAACTCCAATCTGGAACCCTTCATGCCTCTCCAAACTAGATGCTCCAGGACACCTCAACTCCGCCCCCTTTCAGAACCTTAAAAGGAAACAGAAATAGAAGACACACCTGCCCGCAGAATTAGTAACAGCAGCAGGGGTCGTCACAAGCATGAAAAGTTAATTTCTAAAATAAGATAATCTTTATAGTCATTGCACAGTCATATTTCGTACAACATTGCGATGAAATCTTGGTTCTGATATCAAATATACTTAATTACTGTCTTTTTTCTTTTGTATGTGTAATAATAAAATAAAGAAAGAAAGAACTAAAATTTATACTTCAGTAAAGTAGCGTCATATACGTATATAGTATTGTTACTTTCTTACTTTGCAATTGTGCAAAAGTTTATTAAACTCTTGATTCATTCAGCAGGGACATTTACACAATGGCACAGACGTCTACATTGTCTTCAGGCAAATGCGACCCAAAATACGATTTTTTATGACAGTCTGAACGCAGCAAATCCAATTTTTTCAAAACCAACCCAGGCCATTTCAGTATGTGGTTCTGAATCAGATACATGTCTCATGTTTTCAAAGCGACTGCAGTGTCACATTCCATCTGATGTTTTCATCAGTGAGGTGGGGGATCGATCAGACACTAACCTGAAGTCACGCTGTTTAAATCTGTGGCTCCATGTGTTTACAGCTCCAAAACAGAAGTCCAGTTGCTTCAACTTTTTACTTTTAATTTTCCATGTAGATAGTAACATCCAGCCTGGGTCGCGGAGCGTATCGATCCTAATGTTACTTGGTCCATACTTTATTTCCAACTCGTTGCTTCGTTCCAAAAATAAAATGCTTCACCGGAGCATCCGGTCAGAGGCAGGTTCAGATATAAACATTAAACTAAACAAGCACGTCAGATAATTATTTAATCAGCTTTGATTGAACAACTTCAGAGATGACGTGCTAAAAACAGCATCCATGCTAATTCTGTAAACAGTCGGCTGAATGAGACGTCACGTCTTTACTCGACATGCGTGTTCCATCAGGGCTGTGGAGTGTTCACACTGGAGTCAGATGGAGGTTATATTTAAAGGGGCAATATCATGTAAAATCAACTTTTTTGAGTTTTATATCATGCTATAATGTTATACTCTTGAAGAAATTTGTAACTGATTAATTGAATATTAGATTCAGTTTTGTATTTTATACTTTCTGATCATTTCAGTCTGTAAGGTTGAAGCTGACAAAGAGTTGGTGTGTGTGTTATCATGTGTTCTTTCTCTTAGCCTGAACTTGTTTTATGAAAACATAAATTTACATGACTCACCTTCAATTATGGTAATAAATTTACACATACATGAATATTTAATTGCCTAACTGCATTACTCCTCATGATAATTA